ATCCACCAGAGTTCAAATGAAGTGGATGCTAGCAATTATAGGCCACTGTAAATCCTTCAAAAATGAGTAAAACTCATACCGTAAAATTGGTTTTATTAGGCCCCGACATAAACAATGTGAAACAATTCAAACAAGAAAACTAATAGCCTAAAATATAACAAACAATTTGCGAAATATAGATATGACGGACATGAACCAACGACAATCACTGAACTACAGTGGTGTAACAGCACAATATAAGAACAAACAGTTAAAATTAGTTGCGATTGACATAACTCAAAAGATCGATACGGGGCATAAAAACAATAGACACAAAGCACCGAGATAAGAGTACTCGTAGTTGCTGAAAGCTAGTTTAAAGCCAATAACAACTAATAAATAAATCATGTTATCCCAGATTAAAGTATCAATCAGTACACGATCCATTAGTTCTTTCTTATCATTTCTGTTGGAAAACACGTGAATGTATCAACGTTTCTACGTATTCAATTGTATTTTCAAGTTTGAAGAACCATTCAATACTCCTTCTAATCCCACTTATACGCCTACATCTTTCTCGAAAAAGGTTTTAGATAATAAATATTCCGTCCTTCTCTCCTTTGGCATTACCATAAAAAGAAGGATTGAAATTTATATCGGACACGTCAATGAAAAAACAACAATTAATATATACAATGTAGCAGGTTGATGGATGAGAATATAATGTGATATGAATATAGACCCTACTTGGTACCAGACCGACACTCTGAACCGGATTCTTTTAACATGCTAGTTCTAAGTGTAACAATCCGCGGGAAGACATGCCCTCCTACCTGGACACATTCTGGACCAGTCTTTGCTCTTACTTCTAAATGCCGCATGTTTATCGAAGAAGCAGCAAATACCAATTTTCAAGTCTTTAGTTTGACCCGACCTGGGATCAAACCCACGACCTTACGCACTCGAGGCGAACACGCTACCACCGAGGCAGTTCTATATGAGCAATGAGATTTCTATAAAATTCTTCCTACTATTCTTTCTACAATAAAAGTGGCTTTCAAAAATATTGTGATAAGGTAAACTCAATCAGCGGTGTCAATCATATGAATGTGGGTTCTTAAAGTTCTCAGAAACATTATCATTATATCATTATTTTGAAATAATACATAGACTAAAACTTTAGATAGGGCAATCATCTCGTCTTGCTGAAATTTTCGCTCACTATTTTCATACAACAGAATATTATTCTTCCCTTATATCATTTTAGGAAAAATGGCAGTCAATATAGGCTGACTGGAGCCTCCAGTTTACCACCTTTTGGTCGATGTTTAAGTTAGAACAGTTTGTCCTCGACAACATCCTGCCCTCACTATTAGTATATGACTACATATAATGACGCAGATCAGCAATAATACGTAGCTCAGGCGTCTCCAGGTGTACAAACATCTGACATATACTACAAAATTTACGGCTTCGTCTGCCCGTAGATATCTCCTTTCTTCCAAATGTGAGAAACAACTAAAATATTTCACATTCCGATAGTAGGGATTTTATATACACTGAACAGCATTGTTATATTTTCATAACAAAACTATGATTATGATTACAGATGCTCAAATAACCAGTAATTCAGCTAAAGGAAACTTCAATCGCGGTAACGACGATCTGAATATCGAAGCAGTTAACAATGTTTTTTTTGGATTAGACTGCAATATTTATGGGTTGGTACATGCAGGTACTAGGCTTAGAAAAAAAAACCAAATGTGTCTAAAAGATAATGCAAATGATATTGTTAGTCGGTACTTCAAAAACAACCAGATCGTTCCTTTCGAAGTTAGCGTCATCGAACAAATGCACAACAAATGAATTAACAATCCTCCGTAGAGAAATTGAAGAAAACAGGATTTGAATTATTGATTTTACTTGCATAACGTTCAGCGGCCAATACTAAATGTATCTTCAGGGCGAGAACAAATTCATAATGAATTCAATAGGTAAGTTTACTGTTGTTGGTCGAACGGGATAATGGTTGGGATGTTGCTTAGATTGCAACTAATAAAAGAGGGTATGTTGGATTTGGACACAACGTTTGCCTTACTACCTACGGATCCCTATAAAAGTTGTCGAAAGTATGCATGTTAATGAGCAAAGAGCATGTTAATCTCTCTCCCTGATGGATCGGATTTAAAAGCTATATACATCCTGCACAGCCAAAACGGATGCCTTTCTTTTTAGCATGGGTTTAGTAACGGAGGTGAGAGGTTGAAGTAATAATATTCCTATACGAATGTCAATCCATTCTGGTAACTTTTGAATGGCCTAATCTTAAATCTAATTTGTGAGTTATTGATAGTTTATCATTTCAATTTTGTCAATTGTGTATCTAAAATACGCACTTCCATCGACAATAAAGTACCTAAAATGATTTTTGTTCTGCACGTTATGGAAATAGCTAATCATTGATTATTTGATGGTTAAATTTCTGTTTATACTAAAACATGTTCAAAACATTTTCCAAATATCTAACATTTAAAGTTTATGATTGTCCATTATAAATTTCCTGATTGTCCTTCATAATTCTAACTTTTTACTAAAACATTATCATGCGTGCGTCCGAACAGTTTTTCTAGATTCCTTTTTATAAGGATCGCTTAAACCCACATAGATTGAAAGCACTAAAATATAAAACTTAGAAATTTTAGGAGCTTTATGACCAAAGTGGACATTCACATGATATTAAAATTCATCTAAGGGCAAATTTGCCTTAGTATTTTCTTAATTTATCAATGGGAATTTTTAAGAGAAACAAATTCTAAAGCACTGACTACCGAGCTGATGATATCTTTGGGATTAACAGTCTACTAGCAGTGGTATCGAATCCATTCATTTTCCAATTCTTCAATCCTTCCTTCAAGCTATGGGTACTTCATATTCCAAAGGGATTTTATTTTATCGTGTGTCAATACTATACTTCCGAGAAAAAAATAATGTTTTCATTTGACAAATATCAGAAGGCATAAGGTATTATGTTTAAAAAATTATATCTCAGTTGGGAATTAGACAACGTGTTTTGAAGATAATACGTCAATGACCTTGCAGTATTTGTTCAGCTTCGTCTTGCTTATTAATATGGAAGCCTGATAAGCTTTTGGAATATTTTTCAATTTAGCAATTTTTAGTTAGTAAAAATATTGAATTATATTTACAGCTAAGACGTCTACAGTTTAGTCTGGTGTGAAACTTGACTATACTTTTATAGGTGCAGCACTGAACAATAGGAACAGAAACCACTAACCACTAAAAATCTAAATCATTTTCATTGCACCAACCACGAAAAAGAATAACTATAAAACATGCAAAATAAAAATAAATTGCCAGATTTTTAATATTTTAAACCTTGGACAAAAAATTGATATTAAGTGTATAATTTAAGAAAAGAGTCACGGCAGAAAAAGCGAAAGAAGACGAAAAGACCAACAAGTTTACAAAACACTACACGGCAAACAATGACTTAGCAAAAAACTGATTTTTACAGTTTGTTCTTATGTTGTGATGCTCAAAAACAAGTTTAGTCCCACATTATTTATGTGTCAGTCTCAACCAACTGTGCACCTTTCCTGGCCGACCTTTTCCTATTTTCATATGAGTCAGAGTTACTTCAGACACTAGTAAAAAACAAGAAGATAAAAGAAGCTATGTCTTTTAATTTTACATACCGGTATATTGATGATGTACTTTCAATTAAAAAAAAAACAAGCTTTACTGATAAAGTCCCAATAATATATTATCCTGAACTATGGAATCTATGACAAACGAGACAATTTCAATGTTGAAAATAATAAAATTTCCTCACCATAGCAGTAATATATCAACTTCACCCGAAAATGGAGTATACATTTCTCAACTCATACGATATTCAAGCGTTTCCAGCTGCTACTCTGACTTTGTAAAATGTCATCGGTGTCTGAGCGGAAAATGAATGCGCCGGGTTTTGTCAAATAACGTTTCGTCCTTTTTCTAAAAAAAAATTTCATCGGAAAGTACAAAGACCTAATAGATACACAGGTAAAATAGCTACGGACGTATTACGTCCGTAAAAAATCCGTAATACGTCCGTATTATACGGAAAACCTACGGACGAATAGTACCACGGACGTAAAACGTCCGTTGCTTCCCATCCATAATACGTCCGTATCAAACCGTAAAACATCCGTTAAACGTCCGTAATACGGATTTATAATGCTACGTCCGTAATACGGATGTTTAGTACCACGTCCGTAATACGGATTTTTTGTACCACGGACGTATAACGTCTATTAATATTATGCATATTATTATATAGAGATATTTTGAAAAAAAATACCTGTATGGTTTGATTTTTATGTAACAGTTATATTGCTGAAACTTTTGATGGAACTGTCAATGACAAAATGCTATACTTTATTTTAAGGTGATGATACTTTTTATCTGCATTCCCTAATATAGTCTCCTAGTGTTCTATCTAAAATTTGTTTCTGATGCAATACATACAAGGTTTTTGGCATAGAACTTTCTGTCATACAGTGACTTGTTGTTTAACAAGTTGAATATTGATGATAACTTTGATTTAAAATCTTTTTAAACATTCTACATGAATATTCAAGAGTAAATCAACAATAATCATAAGTATTTCAGTGCTTGTCTTTGGTTCATATTTTGCTTTCATATATTAACTTGTTAAAATAAGGCTCTTAGTTTTCTCTATTTGTCATATCCAAACCTTTTCATAGCACACTATATAGTTGGTTTTTTTTCATTGTTGGAGGACCTATAATTGCTCACTATCACATCATTTGAACTCTGGTGGATATTTTTCTCATTGGCAATTCAACCAAATTTCCTTACTTTTATATGATCTTTTAATTATATATCAAGAGTAATTGATCTCAAGAGTAATTGTGAATATTGTATTGTTTCCTTTTTACAGTTTTGAATGTATCTGTTTTCTTAAAACTTTCTTAGAACAAACATAATCTTCAATCTTCTTCAAAGTTCAAAATTTTATTTCCAAGGATTTTTATTCACATTCTAATTTCTTTACTTTCAAAGTCCATGAATGTCAAAATAAATGTCTTCTTTGTAAATTTAAATGTTGTATTTTTTGTAAAATTCCCATATTTGTGAGGTAGTCTTCTATGTCCTGTATTCATGGTATTGGTTATTCTTCACCATGTTCACTGTGAATGGTATCTGAAATAAAATATTCATAAATAATATAAATTTAACTTCCATGAAGTAATGTTATAATAATTAATAGTGTAATACACTTAAGAGGTCCCAAACCGCCTACAAAGTATATGCCTATGACATATTGTGAGTTTTAGCATGTTAAATTAAATTGCTTTGCCGAGTGCAGCTGGATAGGACAGCAGAGGTCCAACCCTGAACAGTTGGGGCAAAAAAGGACACAATTTTCGCACTTGATACAGGTCTGAATTTGGATTGTTATTAAGTATTTGACAAATAATAGGTTTCTGACACAGAATAAATGTAGTCAAAGAACTAGAATTGGTTATATGATTTGAATTTATATTCATTTTTTTGCTTTTGTGCAGTACACTATGCTGTTGCGAATTGACACCCCTCCCCCAAATAATATTTGAAGAAATTTTTTTTTTAATTTCGGACGATGATGTGATTTTTGGCGGTTGTATAAAAACTGCTGTCATGTCCATGTTTATTGTACTTTTTGTTGTAAGGTTGCTGTCAAACTAATGTAAGCCTTTCCTTTTACTTTCCTTTTATGAAATCTTATAACAAAGTTGTGTGTGTACTCATATATCAATGTGCAGAAACAGTATCAATAGATTAATCAAACAATGAAGGAATTTTGATCAAACTACCATAGCCGTAACTTGGAAGAGCCTCTTTTAAATACAAGCTGTAGGTTGAACCAGTATTTACAAAATTGTCAAAGCATGTTAAGCGTACAACTCATAGGTAACCAGTACCTCAACAAGACTTAGAGTGCACATGCTGACCATTTATTTTATGTTGAAATTCTTTAAGATAAAGGTAAAATTACTAAAAGTATCACAAAATCTTAACACTTTACAGATCTTTGACCATGAGGTGAAGGTCGGATAAATCCTATCAGACAGACATCCATACCAAACGATTTTTTTATACACCAAATATAGTTGACCTATTATTAATATTTAAGCTTGTAGTACTTGAAAATCAGCAAAAATACAAAAACTTAACATTGATAAATGAAATGAGGTCATACCCAAGATCAGATGAAACCTGCCAGACTGACTTGCCAGACTGATATACATGTACAGTTGACCTACTGCTTATAGGATTTGAGAAATGGACCTTGTCACTGATCAAAAAAGTGAAGAAGAAGTCAGGTGAACCCTTCTAACAGACATGTAGATGTTGCAAGGAACCCATATACCAAATATAGTTATAATATCCTATAACTCATACATGTCATAAGTGAGAAATTCACATGACAAAAGAACTATATATTTTTTTCAAGCAGTTATTGAACCATGAAAATGAGGTCGAGGACAATGGACATATGACAGACAGAATCTTTGTAACATAAGCCTCTGCAAACAAGATATGAAGTCCAGGGGTTGAAGTCATAAAACTTTGCTCAGTGCTTGGAGCACAAAAATTATGCTCGAAACATGAAATCAAACATTTTGATTGGTTGATTTTGGAGTATGAGTACAAAAATCTGACTCAAAAGTTTTATGACTTCAAGGCCAGGTCTTCTACCTTCTAAAATATAAAGCTTTATACAAATCGTTGACAATGCCGCCAAGAATAGAAATACTTATGGCTATGTTTTGACAAAAAAAACATTCTGATCAAAAAACAAAATTGAAAGTGTGAAATAGCATTATATTATATAAATAATAATGTCCTTTGTTCTTTTAAATGACACATTGAGGATCATACCTCATCTTTTTATATTTATATGCTGGTTAAACCTGGTTCATTGAAAAAGCTCCAAGGTTTATCCATGTACATAATCTGATTGCTATATGTTTGCAAATTCATTCTGATAATGCAAAATCATTAATTGGTTGATTTTTTTTGCTTATTTTAATGTCCAGTGGCAAATATTTTATGTATTCTAAATGATAACAACTTATCAATACATAATATAGGCCAGTCTGACTAGGTACACAGCTACTTTAGTACAAGTAATCTTGATGTACAGTTCTCAAGATGCATATCGAATGTACATCTGTAAAGCTGTATATTAACTGTACAGCTATAAAGTTTCATTTAATTTGGACCATTTTTCGGTTTTTCACATTTTTGCCATTTCCATGGTAACGGCAGCCATCTTGAAAATTCCAAACCCAAAGTGCACATCTGCACATGGGGATTGTCATTATGGAGCAGTTTTATCAATGTATGTCAAGTCATCTCCGAGAACTAAGCTGGACAAAAAGTGTGGAAGAATAATTCGTAGAATAACAATATGTCCCCCCTTTTATCAAAGGGGTGACATAATAATACGCAAAAGTCGATTGTTCAAAAGCGAATTAAAGGTATTTTCTTTCATAAATTGATCGGAAAAGATATGTGGATTGGTTGATTGATGGTTTGTGATCATGATTGATCAATCAATCGATTGATTGATCGATCGTTTGATTGATTGATTGATCGACTGATTGACAGTTTGTAAAAGGTGAGGGGACGTTTTTTTTTCGAATTCTGCACTTGATTAATTACTTGTTTGATATCAAAACTTGATTGATTGATCTCTTATCATGATTTGATCACTTTAATCATGATTTGATTGATTGATCAATACTTTGTATAGCCTAAAATGACACATTTTGCATTGGTTTATTCCTTGTCTATACGTTTTGTGCTGTTCAGTGTCAAATATCTAACCCACAATTTTTCACGTAAGATTGAGAAATATACTCTATTTCCTCTTCTTACATCAGAAAAAATGAATGGCGATTAAGGTTATTCTAACACTCAATTTGCTATTGCAAGCAATAGCGGAGGATGTCACTCCGTACTGGACATTGTCAAGGTAGTAGCAATCATTTTGAGTGTACCAAAGTCAAATGGCACATCTATTATACATGCCTTTGATTCTGATTCCTCCCCCCCCCCTTTTTCTCTTCTCGTAGAATAAGATTGATGTCTATATCACAGCTACTTTAGTACAAGTAATCTTGATGTACAGTTCTCAAGATGCATATCGAATGTACATCTGTAAAGCTGTATATTAACTGTACAGCTATAAAGCTGTATATAAACTGTACATCTGTAAAGCTGTATATCAACTGTACAGCTGTAAAGCTGTATATAAACTGTACATCTGTAAAGCTGTATATCAACTGTACAGCTGTTAAGCTGTATATAAACTGTACATCTGTAAAACTGTTTGTAAACTGTAGAGTTGATATACAGCTTTACAGCTGTACAGTTTATATACAGCTTTACAGATGTACATTCGATATGCATCTTTAGAACTGTACATCAAGATTACTTGTACTATTGTAGCTGTGTAAGTTTGAAATGTAAATGCTATGATAGTTTGAACTTCTGACATCTCAAGTGTGTGTGTAATGGAGCAGTAGAAGGGCCAAAGTAAGGATGCCTTGATGCATACATTACATGGGAAAGTGAGAAAAATAAGCAACAGTGTACATGTACAGTTATACTTGAAACAGTTTTAGGTAGATAACATCAAATTATTTAAATAACTGCAATTCTACAGATGAACTTACTTTGATATCAGTTCTTTTTTGCAGGACATTCACACCTACATGACATACATGTTCACCAGTGATATCAATCATTGTCAATACTGTACTTTCCTTTCATTTGGTAACAAGCTAAAATTGTATATATAAATAATTTAATCAAGAAGTCCAGACAAAAACTACATGTAGTATGAATTGATGCTCACTAATTTATACCTTTACTATATACTTTTACTTTTGAGTGAATTGAAACAAAATGTAAGCAAACAACAGAAAGAAGATCAACAGTTAAGCTTATAAAAAATTAATATAAATATATGTGCATATTTTAATAAAAGAAAAACCTTTCAATGTACCTTGGCAATGGATAAATTTTCTGTCAAAAAGCAAAATAAACTTCAATAAATGGTTTCCCAAGCAAAGCTGGAAACGAACCCTGAACAGTTGGGGTAAAAATGAACACAATATTCAAGTTTGATATAAGTCTGAATTTGGATTGTAATCAAATATTTGACACATTATAGGGGGGAAATTTCTGGATCCACCACTGGGTATTGAACCTTTAGATTAAAGAGTACCATACACTTAAACTAAAGTTTTTTGTCCAGAAACCAAATGTCTTTAAAGGACAACAATGTGATAGCAGTATACTGTGTAGCAGTATACGACCCCATATTGTGGTTGTATAAAAAAATTGTTTGTTCTTTTAAACTTTTTCATAATTCATCTACAAGAAATGTAGGCCTGTTTGGGATTGCTTGCAATGCAATTTTCCTTATAAATTCAACCTTATATAGTAATGCCGGATTTTGATTGGTTGGTAACCAGAGCATTTTTCGTACATTCTTATCCTTTTTACTCTATTTCTGTACTAAAAATCTTTAGTACCGGACATTTACTTTTAATATTTAGTACTACTTCTTTACTTAAAAATTATTGTAATATTTAGGTACGGTACCAGTATTTTACAGTACTTGTTTTGTACTAAAAATTTTGGTACAGAAATAATACCCACAGTGATCATAATATTCCATGTTTGAAAATCATAACTTTAAGAGATTTGAAATAGACAAACTATCAAAATGCTGAAAATGTAACGGTGTAATAACATGAATAAAAAACTGTAGTACTTAAATTTCATGTACAAATCAAGTACTGTAAAATACAGGAACTTAATATCATGATAATTTTAAAGTAACAAAATGGTACTAAATATTAAAAGTAGATTTCCAGTACTACATAATTTTGGTACAGAAATAGTAGCTATGCAAAAGTAGCTGTGTAACCAATGTCAAGTTCTTTGACTACATTTATTCAGAAAACTATAATGTGTCAAATATTTATTTACAATCCAAATTCAGACCTGTATCAAGGAATCAGAAACTTGTCAACATTTAAGTTAAGTACTATGGAGTATTATTACTACAACTGCACAATATTAATGACTTTACCATAAGTTATTTCTTGGTTTCCTTAAACTGACCTCATCACGAATATCAACAAATTGTTTACGGTTTTGTAAAAAAAATAATTTGTCACTTCTAACATGGATAATTTTCAACTTGCCCACAACAAGAATCAAAACTTTGAACTCTATGGCCTCAAACTTTAAAAAAATCTTGGAAACTACATGTACATGATGTACCGAGTCTGACAAGAAAAAAATATTCAAATAAAGTCATCATTTTAATAACATACCTCTCATCACAAAATTATTCATTGACTACTGCTCCTCTGTGCTCATATGCACATAAATCAATATGACAATCTATGAATCCACTATATAATCTAGACATCAATGACCCAAATGAATTCTGTTCTGTTGCTTAGCTTCTCCTACTTCTCAAAGTACTTGTACTTTCATTGAAAATGCTAAAAGAAATAATGGTTAATGAAATGAAGTTATAATATCTGCCAAAATTGCCTTTAATATTTGATCCGGCAAAATTGGCTTAGTTTGATCTTTTAAAACTAGACCAACAAACTTTCCCTGAAAAAATAGAGGCTTCCAAGAGCCTCAGTCACTCACCAGTATCCACTGTGGTTTTGGAAATCATGTAAAATAACGTTTAAATCATAATAAATAGTATTAGATACCCCAATAATGATTGTGGCCAAGTATGGTTAAATTTGGCCGAGCAGTTTTAGAGAAGATTTTAGTAAAAGATCACAAAAATTTACGAAAAATGGTTAATAAAATTGACTATAAAGGGCAATAACTCCTTAAAAGGTCAATTGACAATTTTGGTCCTGTCGACTTATTTGTAGATCTTACTTTGCTGAACATTATTTCTGTTTACAGTTTATCTCTATCTCTAATAATATTCAAGATAATTACCAAAAACTGCAAAATTTCCCTAAAATTACCAATTCAGGGGCAGCAACCCAACAACAGGTTGTCTGATTTGTCTAAAAATTTCATAGCAGATAGAACTTAACCTGGCGAACGTTTTAACCCCACGTCAGATTTGCTCTGAATGCTTTAGTCTCAGAGATACATGTGTAGGACTCGGAACTGCGATGGTACTCCGAACTGCGATGGTCACGCCGAAGTGCGATGGTCCATGCTGATGTGCGTTGGTTAACACGCTGAAGTGTAATGGTCCATTGTGACACTAACTTGTTGTTAGATATGCTGAAGTGCGTTTGGTGGGTACGCTAAAGTGCGATGGTCTAACTGTGATGTTGTGTATACTAGCTAAATGCAATGGTCTGAAGTTGAAATCCCATTTTTAAATGTGGGGGTGTAGTGGTTAATGTGCTAGCCTCGCATTTGGAAGACCAGGTTTTCTGGTCAGGTCAAAATAAAGACTTTAATTTTTAATTTGCTAATGTTTTGCTTAGTATACAACAGTATGAGGCAGAAAATAGACTGGATGGCTTAGATTAAGTATAATGGATTCGAGTTGGGGGACATTGTTTTTATAATGAGCATTCAAGTGCGATAAAAAATAAAACGGGTATAGCACAGCGCTCTTTGTAGTACTAACTAAGCAGGATACATTTAATTTTATCAAATATACTAGTAACTTGTTCTTGTCATGTCAGTAGCTACGAAATTTCTCACAACACTCATGCATCTATTTATTTAATAAATCATAACAGTTTTTGAGAAATAAAAACTACCGATTACATTTATGCTTGACATATAGTGAGACATGACGCTTGTTCTGTCATTAGCTTGAGAATTAGCTGCTTTTTCGCTAAGCAGCAGAAACTGAGAATTACAACAAGTTGGCACCATTTGGGTTTCTTTTGGCCTAACCCATAGCAGAATATTAATACTTTAAACAAAATAAAATAACCAAGATTGCCCGTTTTCTTACAAAGCATGCCGGATTCATTTCGAGAATAAAACAAAATTATCGCTACTTGATATAACGAAAACATTGCTAATAATTAATTTATTATTTTAAAAGTTGGCCACACAAAATCATGTGATGTTAACTTGAGGAGAAGTCAAATTTTATATAAGACCAAGACATGCTCAAAACTGTTTGGGACTTAAATCGTTAGTTTCATTCTGTTTCCTTTCCTTAGTACGTACGAAACCTTCATCTACAAATCTTATTCTCCTGCCTGTGAATCCATTTGTTTCATAACGTTGTATTTGAAAACGTCACAATATCAAACGTCATGCAAAATCATCCCACTTCATCGAAAGGACCATCGCACTTCGGCGTGGACCATCGCACTTCGGCGTGGACCATCGCACTTCAGCGTCCCCATCGCACCTCCGAGTCCTACACATGTATAAGCCAAAAACTGCATTTTACCCCTATGTTCTATTTTTAGCCATGTTGGCATGTTAGTTAGCAGGAGAGGTCATCTGACACATATTTCTAACTAAATATCCTAATGATGTTTGTGGCCAAGTTTGGTTCAATTTGACTCCCTAGTTTCAGAAGAGAAGATTTTTGTAAAAGTTAACAGCGACGGACAACGACGACAGACGCCTTGTGATGAGAAAAGCTAATAAACAGCTGTGCCACGAGCGCATGATACACCCGTCGTCTTGTGTGTGAAGTTTTATGCAATAATCATAAATAGTTTCTTAGATACGGCGCGACATGTGAAAACCCCCCTTTTTTACAAAAAACTCAATAACTAAAATAAAATTTTGAATCATCACCAAAAAGTAAACAGATCTTAAGATTAATATAGATAAGTAGTGTGTAAAGTTTTAAGCAACAATAATACATGTTTTTTGAGATACGGCGCGACATGTGAAAAAAACACACCCCTGTTTTAGCTATAAAGTCTTGTAACTACGAAAGTTTAAATCTTATTTTCACCAAAAAGTATGCAGATAGTTTGACCATCATAAGAAACGACTATGTTAAGTTTCATTAAATTTGGATAAGTGGTTCTCAAGTTACAGTGCGACATGTGGACGCCAGAGAGACAGACAGACAGACAGACGGCCGGAAGCCGGACATTTGTATACCATAATATGTCCCGTAAAAATTTTGACAGGCGTATAAAAATGACTATAAAAAATCAAAGTATTTAATCATTTTAATGTTCTAATGATCTAATCCATCATATAAAATCCATATGACCCTTGAATGAAGGGATGAACAAAAGCGGTTATATACATGTATAATTGGATCTCTGAATCTGCCAATCTTTGGGCATCAACTTACCATCAAGTTATTTTAATAATCATGATACTTTTTGAAATTTGAAGTCATTCAAAAATGTTTAAATTATACCAAAAGTTGAACTAGTATTTGATATAAGGTAATATCTGAGAAATGGACTAAACGAGACAAGGTTTGGTGGTAAATACATGTACCTTGAAAGTTGTTATTGGTTTTGAACTAGCTGTTAGCAATTGGGAGTACTCTCAGATCTACACTTAGTCTTTTTAGTTTTGGGGATGTATAAATCTGCTTTAAAAGCCCTTTTCACACCAATATCCCAGCTAAGTGGTTGGTTTAGTACCACAAACTACTAGTCTAGCCCCACCACAACCTTTTGAATGCGTCTGTCTCATGTCAGAAGCCTGTTAGTGTTATTCAGTGGTTCAGTTTGTCGTTTGTTGCTGTTTATAATATTTTGTTTTTTTGGTTCTGTTTTTTATATATTACATTGTATAAATTAGTCTGTTAGTTTTCTGGTTTGAATTGATTTACAAATATGTGATTCTCATATAGGGTCTTTAAAACCTGACTATGCGGTATTGGCTTTGCTCATTGTTGAAGGATGTACAGTAATTAACAGTAGACAGTATTGTTGTTAACTTCAATGTCATTTGATTTCTGGTGGAGAGTTGTCTTTTCTCATTATGTAAACAATATTTTATTTTGAAAATAATTACGTAATTTAAACATTATTATCATTACAATATGACAGATTTATTAGGATTGAAAAACAAGTGAATTTACACTTTTAAAAATTCCTCTATTTTTTTTCATTGGCAATCACCGCATTTTCTTATTTTTATATTTACATTACATACATGTAAAGCAGACCTTTCATCTTCTCGAGGAGTCCACTTCCTATGTACAACCAGGGGGCCCAAACAGCATCATCATGCATGATTTTGAGTCAGCTAAAAAAAGTATCAAATAGATTATGATACAATAAATAAATACATAAATTACATAATAATTTAATAATAAATAATGAATCTACAATCATATTTTAAGAAGTGAAACATCATTTCAAATCAATAGATATCATATATTAAATTTCGATTTTTTTGTATCAGTGTCTTCTAATTTCTGGGTAGATAAGTAAATACGGGCGAGTTGGCAGACCTTTATTTTTTTTATATTCTATATTCATTTGGATTTTACCCAAGTTAGGCGAGTTGCCATTGTTGACAGGAGTATATTTTACGGATTTAACCCTTTTCATAAGTGGGGCAATTTTTTTTAAAAGCGGGGCGAGTTGGTAAGGAAGCCACCACTTGATTTTTATGGGGTGGGGGCTAGGATAAGAATGTTATCCTGCATTTTTTTTAATTGAAATCTCTGTCCTGCCAGTTAATTTTTCACTAAAAAGACACTATATTCGTTCCTGGTAATTCTTTACATAAATCCTAGCTTTTTTTAACTTATAAGTTGACAGAACTCCAGTTCCGCATATTTTTCAAATAACACACCCCTACCAGTACCCCCCAATAAAACTCACATGGTAGCTCCCTTAACAAGAGTGGGATATTTTTATAAAGGGAGGCGTGTTGTTAAAAAAGTAGGGCGTTTTGCCAGTGGGTCGAGTTGACTTGCGTCCGTTCTTGACAATCTTTGCCTGATTTTCGGGTTTGCATGCGATGACATTTATAAAGTCAAATTTTTTTTCGTGAAAAGTATAGCACTAGCATCTTCTTAAATATGTACATGATAATATTTACCTTTCGTTGCGCTTTCCAAGTACAAAATATTGGGTACGTAATCCGTTAAGCGAAACACAACTTTCTTTCGTTCCCCGGTTTCTTCCAGTTAATCGACAAGCAACCCATTTCAATTTATCTGTTCATACTAATAACTTTTTGACCCATCGGTTTTGAAAAACTAGAGTTCTTTGTATTATCTATCTGACTATAATATATCTTTCCATTCTTTAAACTCAAGGATTTGTACAGTGACACTATACAAATCCTTGTTAAACTGTAAAACATGAATTCAACAGCAGACGAGCGTCCATGGATTTTGCGTCAGGTAGCAATACACAGTTAGGAGTTTGGTTTCGCATTTTGGCCCCGGTGGATTTTTCAAATATGAAAGTTATTGTGTAATTAAATTCATTTTTAGACAGCTGAGTACTAATTTAGCCTTCAAAGGTGGTTTATAAGAACATCAAGATTATTTTTTACATGTTTTATGGGCTATTTTCTGTTTGACTCTCCGTATTTTCATAGCTAGACCGGTCATCGGTCCAGAAATTAATGTAATGTTTACAAATACTTTTTTTCTACACGAAGTTTTTGACGCAATTTTACAAAAAAATGAGACGAAAGACATATGATTTTCATTGGATTAATTGAAAGATATATGTAAACAGTTTCAGAAAAGGTATTACTTGAAGTGATTGAAATTCTACTTTTGGCCAAATTTTGGGGAAATATGTGATATCTTTTCCCCCCTTTTTGCTATATTTTATAACAAAAAATTGCAGATTGTTGCCATGGATACACCAAAAAGAAATTATATTTTACCATTTTATATACTGGATATGAAATCTATGGAAGATTCTGATTACATACATATGCACATATATGACACAAACAGTAAGCTTAATATTGCAAGAAGGCAATGAAAACATGGAAAAGGGGATGGTAAAATTTATGAGGGGAAATTTTAATATTTTTTCCTAACTGTTTATTGCTACCTTATGGCATATTTACCAAGCTCAGAATTGTATAATTTAAGACTTTTCATACCACAAATATATTGATATTTAGATTCTAAATCAACTTCTGAGGGGATTAAGTGTTTAAGAATGACAATACATGTCAATTTTATTGTTTACAGTCCTTAGCAACCAAAATTAGACATTTTGACACAAGGCTTATAATTGTACTCTATTTGCTAAACCCTTGCTTCTGAAGGATTGCACAGTATGTAGTAGCCTAAGTATTGAATGTTTTGTATTTTTTCTTGCGAATATATCAATTCATTATTTTTATCAAGATTTCATGTTACATTTTGACATATATTAAATGTATAGTTGATTCAGCTGTAAGAAATTGATTCCCCATTACCAAGTTTTTTAATCAAGTCTTTGGTATACATTAAACATAAAGATTAACATTTTCATGCTTGAAATTGTTAAATTTTGTACAATTTTGCATCATCAGAGGTCTTATAAAGATTTTCAACATTAAAAAACTGACAAAAGAGGTATAGTTTTTAAGATTTTGCCAAAAATTGATGTCGAAACAATATTTTACACTTTGACTTGGCACCTTTCTTTAAATCAGTTTTTGTCGCGTTTCAGTGTCAACTGCTAACCTTCATAAAATATTCATTACTCAACCAATTTTCAAAAATAAAAGGCCATTTTACTTGTTTTAGCTAGCAGAACACAGAAAATTAGTTAAAAGGGAGAATTTGAAAAAAATATTTACTATTAAGGTAGCAATACACAGTTAGGAGTTTGGTTTCGCATTTTGGCCCCGGTGGATTTTTCAAATATGAAAGTTATTGTGTAATTAAATTCATTTTTAGACAGCTGAGTACTAATTTAGCCTTCAAAGGTGGTTTATAAGAACATCAAGATTATTTTTTACATGTTTTATGGGCTATTTTCTGTTTGACTCTCCGTATTTTCATAGCTAGACCGGTCATCGGTCCAGAAATTAATGTAATGTTTACAAATACTTTTTTTCTACACGAAGTTTTTGACGCAATTTTACAAAAAAATGAGACGAAAGACATATGATTTTCATTGGATTAATTGAAAGATATATGTAAACAGTTTCAGAAAAGGTATTACTTGAAGTGATTGAAATTCTACTTTTGGCCAAATTTTGGGGAAATATGTGATATCTTTTCCCCCCTTTTTGCTATATTTTATAACAAAAAATTGCAGATTGTTGCCATGGATACACCAAAAAGAAATTATATTTTACCATTTTATATACTGGATATGAAATCTATGGAAGATTCTGATTACATACATATGCACATATATGACACAAACAGTAAGCTTAATATTGCAAGAAGGCAATGAAAACATGGAAAAGGGGATGGTAAAATTTATGAGGGGAAATTTTAATATTTTTTCCTAACTGTTTATTGCTACCTTATGGCATATTTACCAAGCTCAGAATTGTATAATTTAAGACTTTTCATACCACAAATATATTGATATTTAGATTCTAAATCAACTTCTGAGGGGATTAAGTGTTTAAGAATGACAATACATGTCAATTTTATTGTTTACAGTCCTTAGCAACCAAAATTAGACATTTTGACACAAGGCTTATAATTGTACTCTATTTGCTAAACCCTTGCTTCTGAAGGATTGCACAGTATGTAGTAGCCTAAGTATTGAATGTTTTGTATTTTTTCTTGCGAATATATCAATTCATTATTTTTATCAAGATTTCATGTTACATTTTGACATATATTAAATGTATAGTTGATTCAGCTGTAAGAAATTGATTCCCCATTACCAAGTTTTTTAATCAAGTCTTTGGTATACATTAAACATAAAGATTAACATTTTCATGCTTGAAATTGTTAAATTTTGTACAATTTTGCATCATCAGAGGTCTTATAAAGATTTTCAACATTAAAAAACTGACAAAAGAGGTATAGTTTTTAAGATTTTGCCAAAAATTGATGTCGAAACAATATTTTACACTTTGACTTGGCACCTTTCTTTAAATCAGTTTTTGTCGCGTTTCAGTGTCAACTGCTAACCTTCATAAAATATTCATTACTCAACCAATTTTCAAAAATAAAAGGCCATTTTACTTGTTTTAGCTAGCAGAACACAGAAAATTAGTTAAAAGGGAGAATTTGAAAAAAATATTTACTATTAAGGTAGCAATACACAGTTAGGAGTTTGGTTTCGCATTTTGGCCCCGGTGGATTTTTCAAATATGAAAGTTATTGTGTAATTAAATTCATTTTTAGACAGCTGAGTACTAATTTAGCCTTCAAAGGTGGTTTATAAGAACATCAAGATTATTTTTTACATGTTTTATGGGCTATTTTCTGTTTGACTCTCCGTATTTTCATAGCTAGACCGGTCATCGGTCCAGAAATTAATGTAATGTTTACAAATACTTTTTTTCTACACGAAGTTTTTGACGCAATTTTACAAAAAAATGAGACGAAAGACATATGATTTTCATTGGATTAATTGAAAGATATATGTAAACAGTTTCAGAAAAGGTATTACTTGAAGTGATTGAAATTCTACTTTTGGCCAAATTTTGGGGAAATATGTGATATCTTTTCCCCCCTTTTTGCTATATTTTATAACAAAAAATTGCAGATTGTTGCCATGGATACACCAAAAAGAAATTATATTTTACCATTTTATATACTGGATATGAAATCTATGGAAGATTCTGATTACATACATATGCACATATATGACACAAACAGTAAGCTTAATATTGCAAGAAGGCAATGAAAACATGGAAAAGGGGATGGTAAAATTTATGAGGGGAAATTTTAATATTTTTTCCTAACTGTTTATTGCTACCTTATGGCATATTTACCAAGCTCAGAATTGTATAATTTAAGACTTTTCATACCACAAATATATTGATATTTAGATTCTAAATCAACTTCTGAGGGGATTAAGTGTTTAAGAATGACAATACATGTCAATTTTATTGTTTACAGTCCTTAGCAACCAAAATTAGACATTTTGACACAAGGCTTATAATTGTACTCTATTTGCTAAACCCTTGCTTCTGAAGGATTGCACAGTATGTAGTAGCCTAAGTATTGAATGTTTTGTATTTTTTCTTGCGAATATATCAATTCATTATTTTTATCAAGATTTCATGTTACATTTTGACATATATTAAATGTATAGTTGATTCAGCTGTAAGAAATTGATTCCCCATTACCAAGTTTTTTAATCAAGTCTTTGGTATACATTAAACATAAAGATTAACATTTTCATGCTTGAAATTGTTAAATTTTGTACAATTTTGCATCATCAGAGGTCTTATAAAGATTTTCAACATTAAAAAACTGACAAAAGAGGTATAGTTTTTAAGATTTTGCCAAAAATTGATGTCGAAACAATATTTTACACTTTGACTTGGCACCTTTCTTTAAATCAGTTTTTGTCGCGTTTCAGTGTCAACTGCTAACCTTCATAAAATATTCATTACTCAACCAATTTTCAAAAATAAAAGGCCATTTTACTTGTTTTAGCTAGCAGAACACAGAAAATTAGTTAAAAGGGAGAATTTGAAAAAAATATTTACTATTAAGGTAGCAATACACAGTTAGGAGTTTGGTTTCGCATTTTGGCCCCGGTGGATTTTTCAAATATGAAAGTTATTGTGTAATTAAATTCATTTTTAGACAGCTGAGTACTAATTTAGCCTTCAAAGGTGGTTTATAAGAACATCAAGATTATTTTTTACATGTTTTATGGGCTATTTTCTGTTTGACTCTCCGTATTTTCATAGCTAGACCGGTCATCGGTCCAGAAATTAATGTAATGTTTACAAATACTTTTTTTCTACACGAAGTTTTTGACGCAATTTTACAAAAAAATGAGACGAAAGACATATGATTTTCATTGGATTAATTGAAAGATATATGTAAACAGTTTCAGAAAAGGTATTACTTGAAGTGATTGAAATTCTACTTTTGGCCAAATTTTGGGGAAATATGTGATATCTTTTCCCCCCTTTTTGCTATATTTTATAACAAAAAATTGCAGATTGTTGCCATGGATACACCAAAAAGAAATTATATTTTACCATTTTATATACTGGATATGAAATCTATGGAAGATTCTGATTACATACATATGCACATATATGACACAAACAGTAAGCTTAATATTGCAAGAAGGCAATGAAAAGGGGATGGTAAAATTTATGAGGGGAAATTTTAATATTTTTTCCTAACTGTTTATTGCTACCTCATAGTATAAAAAACGGCAACGGAGAAAATATTTCCGGGTTTTCGTATTCGACGTGTCAAGCTTTCGTACATTT